ATACTATATGGTATACAACAAGCGCCTGGACCAAACGGGCTGAAGCGCCCGAGACAAAGGGGGGGTAGCAATGCATCAACTCTTGCGTTTGACGAGCCCCCTTGCAGCATACCAAGCGGGGAAACGCAGCACAACCGCCAAAATGCACCGGAGCTATCCAAGCAGACAAGCACAGAGCGACACGCGTTGGTACGGTGCTGCCTATTTGACAGGACAAACCCACCACTGCAGGTCGACCCTCACGAGGCATGCGGTATATACCGGTGCGGCAAGCTGTGGCACGAGCAAATGCGCGAAACTCCAGCGCCACAACTCACCTTGTCACCAACGCTCTTGTTCCTCCTGGCGGCCGACGCCTTGAGCACGTCCTCCGTGTTCACTGTTTCGTGCCTCCGGTTCACGGCCTTGATCTCGTCAAGGGCGTCCATGATCTCCAGCTCAATCTTCGAGTCCAGCGTCCGATTCTCGAGTTGCTTCATGTTGTCGCTCTTCTCCTCTTCTTCCCTGCGCCGAGTTGAGCGCAGAAACACATAAAGACGAAGACGGGAGGTGCATGAGTGCGTGCCGCGGCGTGACGAGCGCAATCTCGCGTTTTCACACCACGTCGTCTCGAGCTTCGTACCTGTCAACCCAGGAAGGTGCCAGTTACAATCCACAGCTCGCGAACTGCTACACGGTGTACGAGCCGCGTTCAAGGCAACAACGTTGGGACCCGATTTGCGATTGTCAACACAACGGCTTGTCAAGATAAAATGTTCATGGACATCAAGAAGTGAGCTGGGCACCAGTTTCGATAGCCCCAGAACCCAAAATTCGCAAACATGACCCTCGCACAAAGATTGATTCTTGCACAGTAATGAAAATTTTGCACACGTACCTGGCCTCCTTGTGTTCCTTTTCTGTTGCCTGCTTGTCAGTCCACGACTCGAAGTTCCTCGAGGCCCCCGTCTCCAGCTCGTAGTCTCCTTTTTCGGGATCCGTCTTGAAAGTAATCTCCCTGACGGCCATAGCGTCAGACGCGGCCGTGGCGTGGAAAACATTGCGATGAGTTACAAAGTGTTCCGTTGCTTCTCCCAAACGGTACAGTCAAGGAAGGCACAGTGGGCGCTGTGCTCAAGCGCAAAATGACATCGAAAAACAAAGTGGCGCATCTACTAAAAGCTGATCAATACGACATGCTTCTACCGTGCCTGTACCAAAATGTCGGCGTGGCAATCAAGCGGGGTGATTGGCTTGCTACTGGTGTGCGTGTTCGAACCCGCGGACGAGCGTTAGCCATCTACAAGTGCCGAGTGATGTTGTAGCTGCACACGCACGGCCGGTGATCACGGTCCACGAGCAGGGGTACAAAAGGACTGCAGGGTCACCGACTGTCTTCCTCCAATCAGAACAAGAGAGGGCCTGCCAAAGCTGCAGTAACAGCTGGAGCTGCACTTGGCATGAAAAATTACCCAACGGCCTTCGTCGAATGTCGTTCGCGATTGGTCAAGAGGTCAATACCAAACGAACGTATGAACCAACCTACAACAGGTTCGGATGTGAAATGCACCTGAAGCTAAATGTGTACAGGAGCTCGGCGGCGCTGGTCTTTGCTGAAACGCCTTGAAGTTCTTTCAATGTTTCAACGTTGCCACGGAGGAGGTTCCCGACTCCGTACAACCTGGTGTACATCCTACAACACGGTACTTGCTGTATCGAAAAAGAACGGGCGAACAGCACGACATGAAGACAACACTTTTTTTTACAAACTTTGACGAACGAATGACAAACGCCAACACGCGAATACGTGCTACTAGAGGCGATGTGAAGCATTCGTTTTTTTCACTCACTGGCTGCAGATGACGCATTTGATGTAAAAGCGAAACCTCCGGATGGTCAGGTAGTCCTCGCCGATGCAGTCTTCCTTCAGGGAGTTGAACTTCTTGCCCCTAGATTAGATGTAAAGTAGCAAGCAGCAAGTACGACAATGAGAACACGTCACGAAACGTCATCAACGACCCCAAGGGCCAGAGAACGGGGGTCGGCCAAAAGGTAATGCAGCTTCTCTCCAGTTTTCATTGTTGCTGGTGATTCCTCCACCTTGACATTGTTCTCACCTCGACCCAGTACTCTCTCTTAAGTTACACTTCCAGAGCAAAGAAACAAATAACATGTTCGCAAAAGCTTAACCAGAACAAAATTGAAACGAAGCCATTCTCGTATCCAACGCCAAACGATGCTGCAAAGGTACATACCACAATTTGAACCACCGATTTCAAGTGTCGCGCCTCCATTCTTTAAATCTTGCTTGAGGTCACCTAACGAACACATCTGCATTCAACAGCATTTTCTGTACTGCACGCCTGCCGACCGCTGATGAGGTGGCCTTAATTTTTCAAAAACATCATGTGTGGATACCCCGGAACAGTTCACAGAGACGTGTGGACACACACACAGAACACATTTCCAGGGCGATCATCATTTGATCGAGGATGCCAGTGCGTGCTTGATGGATCTCTGAGCACCATTTTCAAGTCCACTTACGCGGCACAGAACTACAAGTCGATCCATGTACACTAATAGACACTTACAGAGGGAGGAATACATGTAGGAGATGCTGCTGACATTCATGTATTTGCAACATGCGTGTTTCGTGTGAAAAGAAGTAGAGAAGTCACATCACACAGATCACATGCTGCTGATATACACCCGAGAGCGAGGAGATGAGAAAACAGATGGCAGCAGTTGTGTGTGTGTGCGGTGAGGTCTAGAGGAGAGATTGAGGCAAACACGATGCTACACGATATTGATGTCTCGCACCGGGAACCCTCTCTCTACAGATGTGCGAGTGTTCAGCGTGCGGTCTGTTCCCTGCTCCTCGTACACGACACTCACTCCAATATAAGCATCTCGTTTGCGAGTGCAGGCGAGTAATTTTTTGTTTTAGGCCCCCGTAGGTGTATACAATCACCGTCGCCCCCAACCCCCCCACCCCCCACCTACCCAAACCAGACGCTCTAGCCTACTACAGGCTACTGTTTCTGGCATGAAAATGGACGATGCCCCCCAGCTCCCACCACGACAGCAGCATAGTGCATTTGGTGAAGAGCAGTGTGTTCTCTCTCGTGTGTTTTTTGTCCTCGCGCCTCAGAGCTTCAAACTACACTTTCACACCCAACAATTTCGGGTCCCCAGCATTGCCACCTTGGTGCAATTAAATTATCGTCTCTACATCCTCATGCCTCCGCGGAGGCTGACAACACGGACTTACCAGGTAGTATCGAGCATCGGAGATTTAAGGTTGTGTAGCGAATTACAACTGGTGGGCTTGGTGCATCCTTGCTAAGTGACGCAACACGTCGCCACACCGATAGTTTGTGCAGGCTCTCATGGGTGCGCCTACCTGTCGCAAACCTAGGTAGTCTAGACATGGCAGCGCCTTTCCCGGCACATTGGGCTTCGACACCTAGACAAATTTAGTCTCAACAGCCGGCTGTGGAGCCCAATCAAAGACCATCTGCGGAAAAAAGAGGGGGAGGGCTGCCTAACGATGTGTGTCCCAAAGGAGAGCAGCTATGTAGTTGTACAGCAGCATCTCGTGTATTGTACTAGTATAAGGGCCCTCCTTGCCTTGAAGTACATACCTGTCACCAGATCAGACTACAAGCTTCACGCGAAAAACTAACATGGCGCTATAGTCCCCATTCCCTCGCTACCACCATTATAAACCACACACACACGTAAGACACACCTGTACATAAACTCCCCGCAGGTGTTGCATTGCATGGAGAAGGGGATCATCATCCGGACGCCAATCTGCTTCTCGGGATCTCGCTTCAGCCTCGGGACTTTCTTGGGGTCAAAGTCCGGCGGAAAGTACTTGCATAGAACCTTGCGTTCTCCCATGGTGGAAAATCAACTGCCTCGCTGGGCGATAAGGGCCTACTCTGTCACAAGACCGGGGGTGTGGGTGGTCAACGTCTGTCCAGTCCACTCTCTGTCGCTGTGGAGCGGTCTGCGGCAGGTGGGTCGTCTAGAAGCTACCCAGGGGCTCCGCAGATTCTTGAGGGTATACTCCTGGGGTATGTTTACATCCACGGAGCGCTAACAACGAAGAAAAATAACTTTTGGGCTTGTGTGTTGTGTTGGGACGGGCGCCTCCTCAGACCTGTAAACAAGCTAGTACTTCTGGCTCCCTCTCTGACGAAAGACAAGGGGACAAAGGACGAGGCAAGAGAGAGAAAGCCATGGCGGTAACGGAGGCAGATGCAATCAAAGATTTGACGGGCGAGGAGGTGGAAGACCTCAAGGAGACGTTCCGCACGTTCGACAAGGTAAGCCTCAACCTCACAAAATAGCAATACCGGATGCCGGGAACAACCTACACCCCTGCCATGCTGTCCAGAATCCCGTGGAGTTATATTGTGTCCTTTTGCCCGCGATGTGCCCGTGCTGTTCTAGTGCCACTGCCTTGTTGTTGCACAGAATGGACATCCTGTCCATCATGCACGCATCAGGGTCTACCCCCGAATCTGCGGGAGGCGCTGGAATGAGTTGCGATTCGCCTGCACATGACTGCTGCTTGCCGCTGTACTCGTTGTACTCCTCTCCCATGTTTCTACAATACAATATGCAAAGGAGAACTCTCGATATCTCTGTCTTTAAGCGACATTAACCCGAGGCGGGCATGTGTCGCTTTCTGACGTTCAATAATGTCATGGGTGTACTGCGTTGAAACCAACCCGACGCTCCTTGCAGTTTCCTCCGTACGGAGCAATCCGTGATAACCTCCTTGAAGTATTTCACCGGCCATTCCTGAGAACGTTCGGCGAACACAACTCAACACTTCGTTCGAAGTACTTCTCATGTTATCCTACCGAGAGCGATGATGGTTGGCGCCCTCCCAACCAGGGTTGTCTGTTCCAAAGGTAGTGTCCCTGCGGAGCAAGTGTGATGTCACATGCACCAGATCGTACAGACATGTCTCCATTTTTGTTAAGCTTTCGATGTTCGCATACACAGCGAAGTTATCGCTCTCGAGGTTGTGTGGGCATACAGCAGTGGCAGTTCGTGTTACTACACACCGATACGAACCCACTAATACGAAACACACCTCGATTCTCGCTTTATTACACCACACGAAATGAAGGATGATCGCAACGTTCATGTCGAAAGAAGAGAATACAAGAGGAGACTTCGATGCGGAGAAATGGGGTAAACGATTCCACCACGAGTGTTGGGGGCAGTTTCTTGACACGAAGGCGACCGATTGGCATCGTGGTTTGACACTGCTTGTAGATCGTACCATTGCACACACCAAGACGTGAACTACGCAGATAAACAAACCGATCCGGCGGTTTCTTGAAAGGATCTCCTTTTCTGAGCTCTCGAATCTAGAACCGAACTATTTACATACGGTAGGTTGTCCAGCCCATGGACCGAGTTCAAAGCTCGATTAGTCTGCAGGGAAAACAGTGACGGTGCCGGAGATGGTGGCGTTGGCGTTGGCACTGTCTCGTCGAGAGCTTTCCGAAGATGTATCGTTTGTTTTCGGCATCCTCTTCATCGTGGAACAGCAGTATGGGTTTGATTTTTTTTTTCACGGGGTGTGGTATCTTCCATCATGCAACCCACGGTAGACTCCACATCGCGGCTACCCACGCGATCTACTGCTGTGGCGGACTTCCCAACACAGAATCCGCGGTTGTGGCAGCCAACGCACCTCCTGCCCGGTCCCCCAAAACAGGACCGCCTCACTGCCACATGCCACACGCTTTGCAAATATCCGAGCTTAGCCGCACTGGTTCGACCAGATATAATACTGCTGCACCTCGAGTCTTCATACAGCCTCGGGGCTTGCGCACTAGCCACCCGGGGTGCATGCGATAGTGCACAGCTACACATAATATTTACCCGGGTAAGATGGTTACACCCAGGTACGTTTGGTGTACCCCGGTGTGATACACACATATCTCACATCGTTGTCGGCAGATGGGTGCAACGTCTTTCGGATGGCACGTCACCGGTCCGCTTGCCTCAGCAAGCACATGCCGGGGGATGGTGGGTGCTCGCTGTGAAACCAAGCACGTGTGGACCACAAAAACCCAGCTCCTCACGCCGGCCTGTGAGCCACCGCCGTACCGCGTGCCATGGAAGCGGAGGGAGATTGGCCGCAGAATGCAAGGTTACTGCTCTTGACGAAGCTCACGTCCTACGGATTAGGAGACGCAGCACCTCCAGAGAAAAAAAAAAGCGTCACTTTCGGCAGCCCATCGCTGGCGAACAGGAGTACGACGAGCAAAGTTGTGTTTTGTTTTTGTTCGCTGGGTTTTTGACAGTGAGTCAACCGGAACGAAGGTATTCATGAGCGCGTTAACCCTTAGGTTATCATTGCAGAGAAGGGCCCCCCAAGGGTGTCGGCCCCTGGGCCAGAAGTTGTGTTTGGTTGCTCTTTTTCGACCCTCCTTTGCGCGGAGGGGATGTGTACCCAAGCGAAGGAATCTGACCGTGGCCCCCCGGCCGTAACAGCACCACCAACAGTCCACAACGATGAAAGTGAGAGCAATCTTCAAACTTGAAGAAGCACCGGGTCGTGCCGGAAGATGCGGGGGGGGGGGGGGGG